AACCCTAAACCGTAAGCCCTAAACCCTAAACCCTAAACCCCAAACCCTAAACCCTAAACCCGGCCCATGCCGCCCTGAGCCTGTACCAGCACCCGTTGGCTTTCACGCGTAGGATCTTAGGGTTCAGGGTTTAGGGTTTAGGGTTCAGGGTTAAGTGTTAAGGGTTTAGAGTTTAAAAGGGAAAGGACATGGTCCCTGACTTTCTTTAAAGGGTGCTGACGCACGGACTCTTGGGTCGTATGCGGCATATAACGGGGTGTATAGGAGGTCCCCTTTGAAGGGCCCATATGAAGGGCTGAGGTCGATGCAGGGGGCTTTAGGGTTTAGGGTTTAGGGTTTAGGGTTTAGGGTTTCGGGTTTAGGGTTTAGGGTTTCGGGTTTAGGGCTTAGAGTTTAGGGATACTTTATGGAACCCAGAATCGCCACCCCAGGCCACCAAACATGGCAAAGGCCCTTAAGCGCTAAACCCAAGAAAGGCAAAATGTTCAATATCCCAAGGCCCAGATGCTCGTATGCTAGAAGCCAACTCCTCGATTTAACACCGAGTCAGAGAACATTGCTCAACATTGTCAAAGCACAAACGCACACACACACAAACACAAACACAAACACAAACACAAACACAAACCCAAACCCAAACCCAAACACCAAAAAACACAAACACACAAAAAAAAACACAAAAACACAAAAACACACAAAACAAAAAAAAAAAAAAAAAAAACAACCACAAACACGCACACGCACACGCACACACACACAGAGACAGATAGATATATATATATATATATACATATATACATATGTATATGTGTGCATTCTGACATGACATGGTACAGTAGGTTCTGGTCTGATGTGATCCGATATGCAACTTCACTTTGTGGGCCGTTGAACGCAGGACTGAGTCACGACCCTAAACCCAAAACCCTAAACCCAAAACCCAAAACCCTAACCCCTAAAAACATCATCCAAACCTGGTCCCAGCTTCCTGAGATGCGCTTGAGGGTATGGGTTATGCAGGCTGGTGGTCTCTTTATCTGTTACACAAACTACCCTAGATAGCCCCGACATACCAGAATAAGGATCCCAAAACCTACCCCTTTTAAAACAGAAACCCCAATTAAAGAGACCACCAACCTGTTTAAGGTATGGGGTTTAGCCGTGTAGGGCTTTGGGTGTAAGCGTTTGGGCTCTGTACGGCTTAGACCTTAGCTAGAAAGACAAAGGCTGCCAGGAGAGTGAACCACCTATAGGACTGCTCGGCCCTTCAGCCGGGCGTCTTCTTGTCTTTTTTCTTCTTGTCACCTTTCTTCTTTTTGTCCTTGTCTTTCTTCTTAGCCTGCAGGCGAGAAGTTTAGGTCTACGCGATGCGCCGCGCACCAGGCCTACAGCTACGCTTAGTTGCTGAGTTCACAAGCCCAAAAAAAGTGTACACTTTCAGTTCTATATGGGATTTTAGTATCCAGGTCAGGCTCTCCCCTAAACGGCAGGCTGCAGACCCACAGACCGCCCCTAAGCCTTTCTTTAGGGTTTATATAGAGTTTAAGGTTTAGGGTTTAGGGTTTAAGGTTGAGGGTTTAGGGCTAGCAAACCCTAAACCCTAAAACCTTAAAACCCTGAAGTCCTAAAGCCCTTGGCAGCAAACCACCCCCCCTTACCTGAATGGGATCCCAAACAAGCCTGGATTAAAACGGCTACCGGGCCTTCTTTCAGGTAAAGGGTTTGGGCCCTATCGGATCCTGGATCCTATGACTCCTTGACCCAAAAACATGAGGTCTTTCAAAAAAGAGCGTCCAAGACCTGAGGCCCAGACACGAAACCCGAAAACTCTCAAAATCCTGTACTGGGCCGAAGCTGAGCGCCGCGAAAACACAACATGAACTGTTTAGGGTTTGGGGGTTTAGGGGTTTAGGGGTTTAGGGGTTCTAAGCTCAAAGAGCTACGCTGTGCAAGCCCCTAATCCGTAAACCCTGGCTCTGGAAGCCACAGAAATACTACTCCCTAAGCTCCACAATCCGAAAGCCGAATACCGCAAAGAGACAATAGCCTTCTTCTTGTCTTTCCTGGGCATACCAGAGACCCCCCGCCCGGCCACGTTTAGAGTTTTGGGTTTAGGGTTGAGGGTAAAAAGACGCCTAAGCCCTAGCAAAACCCTAGCCCCAAAAACCTGAAATACGCTGAAAGATAGAATAGAAGCAACAACAATAAACCTTGAAAATGCGCAAAAAAACCATACAGACAGACCCTGAGCTAAAAGCCCCTCCCCAACAAAAAAAAATTCTCAAGTTAAGCCCAAATAGTAGCCTCAAGAACCCTAAACCCTCTAAAGATCTGGAAAGCCCGAAACCCTGAAAAGCCCTAAACCCTAAAACGCCCTAAGCCCTAAACTACCCTTAAACAACTAAACCTTAACAAGCCCGAAAGACCCTGAAAACCCTAAACCCTAAACCCTAACCAATAAACCCTAAACCCTAAACCCTAAACCCTAAACCCTAAACGCTAAACCCTGTGTTGGGTTTTGGGCCGTGCTGTCAGGGGGCTCCGGGTCGAGGTAGGATCTAAGGTCTGGGCGCTTGGGTCGAGTTGGGGGGTTTAGGGTTCACTTTGGGGAGTTTGGCTATGTTAAGCACATCTTGGGAGTCAGGTTTTAGGACTCTCTCTCTCTGCCCATGGACCCTTGGGGAAATAAGGTCCCTGTTTAAGAGAACCAGAAGAGGAATCAGAAGCGTTCCCTTTTGAGGGACCCCCTTATCCTACCTAGGATCATAGCATGCGTGCGCCGCGGCGCCTGGTTCGGCAGCCTTCTCAAAGCTACAAGAGGAACAGTGCAGGTCTGTACACAGAGACACTAAACCCTGGACCCCGAACCCTAAGCCCTACACCCTATAAACCCGAAAAACCCCAACCCTACAAACCCTAAACCCTAAACCCTGAACCCTGAACCCTATGCACCTCGGGTAGCCCACAGGGTTTAGGGTAGAGGGCTGAGGGTCCCTAAACCCGAAACCCTAAGCCCTACACCCTAAACCCTAAACCCTCAACCCCAATCCCTAAACGCTACAAACGCTAAACCCTAAATTGTTTAGGGTTTAGGGTTGCAGGCTCGCAGCTTCTTCTTCTCCTCCTCGCTGTCGGAGGAGTCGGAGCTGTCGCTGGAACTCGACATGGCGAGATGGGCCGCCGATCGCTGACAAGCTTTAGACAAGGACTGCTGTTCTGCTTTATTGAGTCGACTTATTATAACATCGCATACTATAGTTGAAATTAAATACAAATATCAGACGATGTGTAGTTTGTGTCAACGAATACAAAAATGCACATGTATATGTATATTTACCTATTCATATTGTCTGCATATATATATATATATATATGTATTTGCGCTGCAAACTGTCAGGTCGTCTGCGGGCTTCGGGCTGCTAACAGGCTCGGGGGGGCTCAGGGATTAGGGCGCCTTGGGGTCGGGCAAGGGAAGTACCTAGGGTTTGGGGTTTAGGGTTTAGTGTTGATATTGATATCCTGGCGCTGGCATGGAACCACTACGTAGAGGGAACCTGATCCCGGCCCTTTGTAGAAAAGAAAGCGCAGTGAAGGATCTTGTTGAATTCTGCTGATGTGCAGCTTGCCATGGACGCTCTGCATGTCTGAGCGAAACGCTGGCGAAAAAAAGATCGGGGAAAGTCCGCGAAACCCAAACCCTAAACCCTAAACGCTGCTTAACCCCTGTTTAGGGGCTTAGGTGTTTAAGGCTAAGGTTTAAGGGTTTCGGGGTTTGGCAAGGCTGAGGGCACAAAGCCACTGCACCTCAAAAACAGCAGCTCTGCGTCCAGACCTCCCTCGTCTGTAGCCTACGCCACCCTACACGTTATAGGGTTCTTAAGGGAGGGGGGGGTCAAGGGGAGTATGTACCCAAGGTTCCCCAAAACTCCCCACTACTCCCTGAGGCTGCCTAAGCTTCCCTAAAATTCCATAGGTTCCTGAATCCCATGAACCCCACTCCCATAAGGACCCTACAATACTATTTGCCTAAGAAATAAGAACCTCCGCCAATGCCCAAAACGAAATAGTCTCCCTTACGGGGCTTCTTAAGCACAGAATTGTAAACCCCCAACCCTGAACTGCAGCGCCCTCGTCTGAAGCCTACAGTAAACCGCAAAAAACACCAAAAGGCCCACGCACAAGCTCCGGCAAAACCGGTTTGGGGTTGGGTTTAGGGCTTAGGGCTTAGGGTTTTGGGTTTGGGGTTTAGGGTTTGAGGGTTTGAGGGTTTATGGTTGGCATAGCTTGGTAGCCCATGTCCTGCAAGAACCCCAATCCGGCCCAATCCCCGCCCCCCCCCCCCCACCCCCTAATTCAAACCCAACCCCGAAGCCATAGCGAGGGCGATGCTATACTGGCGCCCCTTCTTGCACTCATGTACCTAGGTACCTTTCGTAGAGAGGAAGCCCTTCCAGCCCTGTCCCTGAAAAAAAGGCCCTAGTCTGGCACAACACCCATGTAAGCTTGTCCAGCCTTAAAGCCAACCCTCCATCCCTAAACCCTAAACCCTAAAACCGAACACCCCAACCCCCAAACGGCAAACCTTACACCCGAAACCCAATAGCCCAGTCATATTATGATAAGGATACCACTTTTGGGTGGGCTACTTCATTAGGGAACGTTGAACCAAGCACGTGAAAAGGCTACCAGCGGGGTACCAAGGTCCCTAAACCCTGCACCCAAAACTGTGAACACTGAAGCCTAGACGGCCCTGAACCCTGAGTTCAGTCAACCCCCCATCCCACACCCTAAATCCTAAATTCCAAAAACACCCAAAAACCTAAAACTCAAAAATCCTCGAAACCTAAAAAAAACGCAAAACCCCACCTCTAATCCCACCCTAGCCCCTCACCCCTAACCCCTAAACTAGCCCTAAACCCTAAACCCCATAAACCCTAACCCCCAAACCCTAATCCCTCACCCCTAACCCCTAATCCCCCCAGGACCGCAAACCCGGCAGCGTCCTGCGCGCTCAGCGCGGCGGCCTCCGCGCGGCTGCGCGCCGCGGCGGCGGCCGAGCCCAGAAGGCGTGGGGCCCTGGTGGGTGGTTTAGGAGGGAGGAGGGTTTAGGGTTTAGGGTTTAAGGTTTAGGGTTTAAGGTTTAGGGTTTAAGCTTTGGGGGTTAGGGTTTAGGGTTTAAGGTTTGGGGCTTGGGGTTTAGGGTTTGGAGTTGAAGTAGTTTAACCCCAAGGCTCTAAGGACTCTGTTTTAAGCTTTTTGGGCCCAAAGGCCTTGTTGTAAAAGGGCAAGAGTTGAGCTTAGGGTCGTGAGGCTTAGGGTTAAAGATTTCGGTCAAGTTAGTTGGGCTTGGGGGGGGGGGGGGGGGTTGTCGGTTATAGTGTAGGTTCAGGGTTTGGGGTGGAGTTGCTTGGGCTGTGTGGTTTAGGAGATTGGACAGGTGCACACCCTCATTTAAGGGGTATAAGGAGGGACCTCGAGAAGAGACCCGTAATCTTATTCCGCTATAGAACCCCAATCTACCTTATATGGCCCCTATATACCTAAGTAGACGCTAGATAACCCCTAAATATCCCCAAAGGCCCCTTATCAGGGTCCCTCCTTTAGTCCCTTGACCCCGCTACCCCTGCAACTGAGTAACTTCTCCTTCCCGAGGGCTTGTCCCAAATTGGTTTGCTCAACGAGTCCGACATCGCTAAGGCCGCTCAAGACTGCACTCCGTGAAGCCCCTGAAGCCTAAACTCAAACCTCCCTAATCCAGTCACTACAAACTTCTGCGGAACGTGTCAAAAACAAAACTCCTAAATTTCTTAAGCCTTATAACTAAAGCTTCCCTTGGAATCCCCAGCAACCTCGATATCAAAACAGCTCCCGTTTTACCAATGGGTACTTTTGAAAGGAACCAAGGACCACAGTGGAAAACCCTAAGCCCTAACCTAACCCTAAGCTCTACACCCTAAACCCTAGACAGAGTTGAGGGTTCAGGGTTTGGGGTTACCCGTGGCGTAGTGGTTCTTCGTAGAGAACTAGGGAAGAGGGGGGGTCCTCACGTAACTTTTTGGGGGCTTTTGAAAGGGTACCGCATTCTAGTGACTCCCTAGGAAGAACTTGGCAGCTAACCTTCTAAACCCGAACTAGGCCCCCACATCACAAGCCCAAGCCCCAAAAAACCTAAGCCCCTAAAGCTTGAGCCCGAAACCCCTAACCCCTAAACCCTAAACCCTAAACCCTAAACCCTAAACCCTAAACCCCCAGACCAGAGTGCCTCAAATTCAAATTACCCCCTGCCTAAACCCGCGCCCCAACTTCTTTCCCCCCCCCCCTCCCCACCTAAGCTGCAGCTTTGCAGCAGCTTGCCTTCAGGCTTCTAGGCATTTTGAAATCTAGGGGCTACCCTAAACCCTAAACCCTGAACCCCTAATCCCAGGCTTCGAGTTCAGGGCGGCACTGAGGTTTGGGAATTTCGAGGGATGTCTCTGATTCGGTTCCCAAGACGCTACACCAAAGCTTCAGGGGAGCAAGAGGTCCTGGCAGTCTTAACTTTTGACAAGGCTCTGGCTCAGGGATCATCGGGCTTAGACTTCAGGATTTTACGACGTAGCCGGCATGGGAGTCAGGGTGCCTAAGGCTCCAAGGACTCTTATTTTGAGGCTTTTTGGGCCCAAAGGCCTTACATTAAATAATGGTTTTGGGGCTATTTTGAGCCTGTATGGGGTTCTGAAACCTGAAAAGAAGCGGCAGCTAGAAATGCCATGTTTTTTCCGCGCCCCCAAAAAGCTGTGAAGCGAGCCTTCGGACGGACGGCTTGCAGGGGTTTAGGATTTACAGAGAGTTTCGGGTAGTGATACAAAAGCTTCGACACCAAAACCGGAGTGGTCATGTCCGGTCACATCCGAGGCGCGTCAAGCAAGCCAGTTGGTAGCTTGGCGCCTGGCGTTGCTTCAGATTTCAGGGTTTACCCTTAGGCTCAAAATAGCCAAACCTTTGGGCACAAAAACCTCATAGCAAGGCGCTCAAGACGTCTGGCTGAAGTGCACAAGGACTCACCATACCATGGCTTCATGATGTGGGGTTTCACGCAAATAGGAGCCCCTAATATAGACCCCAAAACGGAGTATTCCCTTATAATAAGGACCCCAATAAGGTACCCCTGATTTCGGAAGCCCCCATGTGGAACATCTGGGAAGCTGTCGTTGGGTTGCTTGGCGGATCTCAGAGATTGGTTAGGGTTTCGGGTTTAGGGTCTGGGGTTTAGGGTTTAGAGTACCAGCTGGGACTACGTGGGGTTCAGGGTTGATCACAGCGGTTGGTTCCAGTTCGAGTGGGCGTTTTTTGTCAATAGAGGGTCGAGCGAGGGCTTGTGACTCCAAAACGACTTCGCAGGCCCCAGGCTCGCCAACACTGGGCTATGACTCCCTCCAATTCAAGCCCTAAGCCCCTCAACGCTCAAACCCTAAATCCTCAAACCCGAATCTCCAAAACCTTCCACCCTCTAAGCCCCCTAAACCCTAAACCCTAAACCCTGAACCCTGAACCCTGAACCCTGAACCCTGAACCCTGAACCCTGAACCCTAAACCCTAAACCCTGAACCCTGAACCCTAAACCCTATAAACCCTAAACCCTAAACTTCCTAAACAATCTTGCGACAGAGAGCAAATCCTGGCCTGGGCAAACTCTAAAGTGGCCTCCGCGAGCGTGTCGCGCAGTCCACCTTCTCAAAGGGATTCGGGTTAAGAGCTGTGTAAACGTAACTCTGTGTATATATATATATATACATGTATATACATATATATATATATATATATAAATAAAAATACATATATAAATACATGTGTATATATATATATATGTGTGTGTGTGTGTTGTGAAAATGTTCCATTTTGAGGTATGACGAGATCTGCAACACAGGCGCGGGAAGCCGGCCCAGGAAGGTCTAGGGCTTCAGGGAGTTTGGGATGAGTGTTTAGGGGGCTACAGGCCACAGGGTTTTGGGCTGAAGAGCCTCAAAATATCTCAACTCCAAACCTTGCTAAGCCCTAAACCCTAAACCCTAAACCCTACAGCCTACGTACTCCGCATGCACCCCAGGCCTTCCTCCAGAGGCACTTCGGCCACCGCGGCATACCACAGCACGCCTGTGGAACGGGGGTCTAGAGGTGAGGATGGCATCCTTAAACCCTCTACACCCTACGCCCTAAACGCAGGGGTTTAGGGTTTAGGGTTTAGGGTTTAGGGTTTAGGGTTTAGGGTTTAGGGTTTAGGGTTTAGGGTTTAGGGTTGAGGAAAAAATCGGAGTTTGCAGTTGTTGGGGCTCTCTCGCGTCGAGAGTTCAGGGCTTCAAGTAATCGCACTTCGGCGCTTGGCTTGGGCGGGTGAAAAGCGTCCAGTGTTTAGGCTTGAGGGTTTAAGGCACCTTGGGCAATTTTCACGACAGGGGAATTCATTCTTTCAGTAGCGTCCAGCGAGGGGAACCCGCAAACCAAGCATTTTTTTGGGGCAACTCCCGTAAGGAAAAGGTAGGCAAACCTATGAATCTCGAAGTTTAGGTTCCCTAGGCCATAAACCCGAAGGGTTTAGGAATTCCCCTTTGGGGCTGTTGAGCTTTAAACCCTAAGCCTAAAAGACTTTAGCTCCTCAAAACCTCTAAGAATACCGCTTGAAAGGAGGGGAGAAGTTGGTCGAAATGTATAGGGTTTAGGGGCCGAGGGTGGGAAAGTCGAAGGTCCACTTCCCCTTCGAACCCCAAGCAAGAAATTGGGTTTAGTAAATGGGTTTAGGGTTTAGGCTTTGAACAAGATAAAGCATGAAACGTACATCTTAGTGAGACTGCAGGGTTGTAAAGTCCAAATCATACCTCAAGAGCCAGGGGTTTTGTAATGACAGGGCTTTTGGGTTCTTCAGGCAACACAGCGCCTGCACCCCAAATGCCCCTCATGCGCATATCAACCCTGACTTGTTGAAGGCTAGACCCGGGAGTAACCTAGGAATAAAAAGGGTGCTCTGGTTTTAAGGGGCTTACAAGGGAACCCCAACCCTAAAAAAAGGAAAAAACGGGCCTACTCCCGGTCCTTGAAGGGCTTCCTTTTGCGCTAAGAGCCATCACTGCCGCTCCTCTGCCCTTGCCGGTCGCGTTCAAAAGTGAGGCTCAGCTGCTAGGTAGCCCAGTCACAGCCACTGAGCTTCCCAGATCGAATCGCGTGCTTGCGAATGATGCTGCTGTGTTCCTCCCAGCTTCTGCGCAGGGTCGACACAGGTCGTCTGATGCCAAGTTTGATGGTCCCGCAACCAACCGCGTCCTAACTGAACCCCAAAATCCTGCCTTAAACCCTCAACCCGAAACGAGCATCTTCCTCTTCGACCCGCACAGATGCGGAGCGAAAAAGTGGCCTGCAAATGTTCTTGCAGCACCCTCCTGTACATAAGCTTCCGCAGCTTGATCTGCCTGTACAACTTTTATTGCAATTTCCTGCAGTTCTCTATATGGTGGCCCCTGTTGACGAAGGGGGTTTCTACCTATAATACAGACCCTTGCACCTAAAAGGCGTTAACGTTTAAGTGCCCCCAAATAGCAACCATCATTCAGAGAACTGGCCTGTTTTGCCTACCCAAGCAAACAGAACTGGGCCGTTCTTTGCGTGAGCAGGACCCTGGAAACCAAATGAACCCTACGATCGGGGTTATTGAGTTATCTACCCTGTGCCACTATAATTCCACAAAGACTTTTTGATATTGGTCCCCAAGGGCTTCAAACTCCTCGGCATGCAAGTGTCCCCTGGCATTTGCGGATGCCATTGGTCGTGGACCATGTGCCGCGGCAGACCGTTCCAAAGCGACAGGAGAGGAGGCTCACGCCCGGATAGGTGTGGCGAGTCTCGTTGCTGGTACGGGCGCTGGAGTTAAAGGGCTCACTTGTGACACCCAAGCATTCCGAGCCCTCTGTGCATACCTCGGAGCCAAGGCCCTGATTCCTGGGCGAGCTGGGGCAATGGGAGCCGTACCAGCACAGCAGGAAGTTTCCCACTGCCTGCGCTGTGCTGTTCTCATCCTGCATGACGGTGACTTTTCCTCCTTCGGGGGAGTCATGTGGGTGGCTGTCAAAATCATGATCCCTTTTGGGGTACCCTAAATACTTACTGGCCCAAAACCCAAGGAAATAAAAGTTGAAAGAATAAACTACCTTATAAGAAGCCCAAAAGTTGAACAGTTTGGTTTTGAGCCAGTAAGAATATGAGGTGCCGCATTATAAATAGGGACGCAAGAAGCCACTACATCTTGGTGTCTACTCGCTATACATCCCGACACGGGAGCCTCATCTCCGCCGACTCAAAGCTGCAAACCCTACACCCCTACACCCCTAAACCCCTACAGCCCTAAACCCCTACACCCCTACAGCCCTACACCCCTAAATCCCTAAACCCCTACAGCCCCAAACCCCAAAACCCCTACAGCCCTAAACCCGCCCTAAACCTCTAAACCCCAAACCCCCCCCCCCCCCAAACCCGCAAAAAACCCCAAAAAGCCTGTCGCTCCAGCGGCCCCTGGGCCGTGAGGTGCTGACTTCGTGGCACCACGCAGCTGGGACTTCGGTTTGCTGTCCGCGGGGCTCCTTATAAAGGATGGGTTTAGGGTTTAGGGTTTTGGGGTTTAGGGTTTAGGGTTTAGGGGAATGCCATGAACCCTGCAGCGGAGCAGGGTTCAGGGTCTAGGGTTTAGGGTGGAGGGTTTAGGGTTCGGGTTTAGGTGTCCCTAACTCCATTTCTTTCCCAAGGTTCTGGCATCGGAGGCCTCCGGCGCACTCCCGCCGTCCCCTGTTCCAGCCCCAATTTCCGCGGCAGTACGAGCCTTCGTGGGGCAAATCGGTAAACGGGCCCATTTCTTGCGGGATTTCAACCCTAAACCCTAAACCCTAAACCCGAAAAATCCCGATTTCAGGATCCACCCCAAGGAGCCATGGTGGCACACCAGGAGGCTCGACTGCGCCGAGCTCGTCCTCGAGGCGTCGCGAATTTCCTGGGCTACCGGTTTAGGGTTTAGGGTTTGGGGTTTAGGGTTTAGGGTTTAGGGTTTAGGGTTTAGGGTTTAGGGTTTAGGGTTTAGGGTTTAGGGTTTAGGGTTTAGGGTTTAGGGTAAACATAAAGGACTCTTAGGCTCAGGGCTGAGGGCACGGAAGGCTAAGTTACCCGAGGCGGAATGAATGTTGGTCATCTAAACCCTAAACCCTAAACCCTAAACCCTAAACCCTAAACCCTAAACCCTAAACCCTAAACCCTAAACCCTAAACCCTAAACCCCACTTCCAAACCCTGCTCCTTAACAGCAGCCCAGTTTCCGTGTGGACTTGCGCCTGGATGGAAGGGATGCTGCTCTCTGGCACTTGCCCTCCCGCATTCATACCTGGGTTTAGGGTTTAGGGTTTAGGGTTTAGGGTTTAATAAGGGCACCCATTTTTGGGGGTTGGTTACTTTATAAAGGGAACCATGAACCCTAAACCCTAAACTCCAAAAAAAAAGGGGGAAAGGGTACCACCGGGCTACCAAGATACATTGTAGGCTTCCTTCACAGACCGGACGACCCTCCTCGAGGACGACGCTGCCGTTGCAGACCACGCCGTAGTAGCCTTAGTTTGGCGCGGTAGATGCCTCCCCAAACCCTAAACCCTAAACCCTAAACCCTAAACCCTAAACCCTAAACCCTGAACCCTGAACCCTGAACCCTGAACCCCGAACCCTAAACCCTGGACTCACTCACCCTAAACGCTTATCCCTTTCTGTGCTCCCTGAACAAGTAGGTACTTTCCACCTTTAGCTTCCAATC